CTGTAAATCTGGGCGGCCTCTATGCCCGCAGCAAGTCTAAGTTCCCGACTGGATGGGCATACTTTGAGGATGGGTCTGTTTTCATACTTCCCTTTGCGTGGTTCCCTCACGATACCTTCGAAGCGCGCATGAAGATAGCTGCGCAGTTCGTAAGTGGGCCGACGCCGAAGATGCAGGAGATACGGCGAGAGAATCCGCACATGAAGCGCTTCATCATTATCAAGTGAGTACCACGGCTTGCAGTCTGGATGTATGTGCTAACAACCACACCAGTAAGGACACAAGACAGTTACGCGAGAACACATTCCGCATCCTAGCCCGCAATGCCCAAGATGGGCAGAGAGTATCCGTCGCCGACCCGCCCTTCGAAAACGTCGAATTGACTCTCGACCCCACCGAAAGCCGCCCGATATCCGCACGTTTCAACGACGCCCCCCAACTGAAATTCGAACACAGATTGCGGAACAGTGAGGCTCTGGAGACGTTCCGCGGTACCTTGGTCGATGGCGTTCTACAGCCAAACGTCCGCCTGGGAAATGGCCTGCGCTTGTCCAATAAGCCGGAGATGCTGAAGCCTCAATTGACAGCAAAGAGGCGGGCGCGAAATCACGAGGCCTCTAGGCTTCACGAAAGCGTCGGTTTGCCTCCAAAGGCACCTGCAAAGCTGCTTGATGGGCTGGATGTGCGGTCTTTGAGAGACCGTCCTCTATCTGCGAGCTCAGACAGGCCTAAGTCATCCCCTCGAACACCGCCCCGAGACCGCGATCTAGAGCTTCGAGAAGCCCAACTGGCTGAGCGAGAGCGCGATCTCATCAAATTGCAACAGCAGCTTCTGCGACAGACCATGCGCATCCAGAACTCTCCGCCGCGTCGAGAACGCCGTCCTCGATCCCAGCCCCGCGACGACAACTACACAAACACGCATCGAACACGCGAAGCCACCGAAGCACGCACGTACACAGAGTCGGATACCGCAGCCGCAGATATTGAAGCAAGGAGAAAGGCACTCGAACAGGAGGAAGAGCTCCTAAGATACAAGCGCAAGGCATGGCTTCTCGAACAGAAGCTGGCTCAGGCTTCAGCACGTCCTCCACGCCCTCCACGTAGACCCCCAGCTCGTCAGTACGATGACGAAGCGCAAGACTACGACGACACACGATATTCTGCTGAAGTTCCACCCGAACGAGACGCCTTATCTGATGTGCAACATGACGAGGGCGCCGCAGACGGTCACGATCTAGACAATTCATCACCGACCGAAGCGCTTCAGAGCTTAAGATCCCGTATCCAGCTTCCTACGAGGCAGACGATGCGATCACATCGGACGCCACGGTGAATGACTATAAATTCTCTTGGGCACCAGTCCTTTACTCTCATGAGCCCGACTACGAAACGATACCGCCTGTGATCGCAACGCGAACGAATAGCATAATACTTCAGTAACCGAAGAAACGACTCTCATACGATGAGTAAGCACATTGCTACATCAATGTACCATACTCAGCCATCATATGATACCCTGCACGAACGACTATAGATGCAACGATAGATAGACTTGTTAGAATTATACTTCACTCTCATCTCTTCTTCGGCGTTTTGGGACATACGCGCTCTGACAGAATGCAAGAAGCACCAGGAGTGCACCACTTCCAAGATTAGCAATCTTTCTTGTTTCCACAAAGTCACGGATAATACCGTGCCTGTTAAACGTCCGACACTTGAATGGCTCCATGGTGTCGGTTCGGGTACGGTATCCAGTAGGCCTACATGTCTATCTCAATCTCGCATACCCCGAGAACGGGGTCTTGGGATCAAAACTTCCAGGAACGTACATATCGACCGTCGCTGTGAACGTCATCACGTCCATTTCCGATGACGCTTGTTCCAGCACCATAACGGGAAACTGTCGCGCCAACAGGGAACCATCATGTCTATTTTACGTACTATGTCCGCCAAGCACGATAGAACGCTGCTCGGATGCAAACGGGGCCGTCAGACTAGGAACAGGACGTGTCAGGGTATCCCTTGCGATCGAGCGGCATGGCAGGGGAACCAGCGAGTGAACCACGTCAGGGCAGTGATCTGAGCATCTTGTTCCAGGGAAAACATTAAACATTTAGCTTCCATAGCCGGCGATATACTGGTGTACTGTAAAGGTAATTGGAGTAGGTTATCAAATCTTGCCTATATCTCGATTTCACAATCACAGTGTCATCAAAGTGCTCGAGGGAGGAGGAGAATACGATCCGTGGAAAGACTTTTTGCAAAACTCTTGTACTATCGAACGGTGCCACAGCCCGCCACAGTCACCTTGGCCCTCCGCGAAGTCGCCGAATCCGTGTTCTTGCCTTCGCCGACGGGCTCTTCACTCAAAGCTTGCAGCTTGCTCCACCTTCATTTGACCTTCAGGATGTGCGCGCGCCTGGAGAGATAGTGTTTCACAAGACCGCGAAGTTATCACATGTATCATCGACAAATGAAGTGGGAGATCAGTGCAAAGAGACACAAATCTACCGTCAGTTTATCTTTGGTATCAAGATTGTTTTATGTTCAACGACATAAACCTACCAATATATTCGAGATCTTGCAATATATTGTCTTTATAGCAGGACCGAAGTGGTGGCTTCTTCGCCAATTGAAGTTGACGGGCACTTCACCGGGATGCATGGGAATAAGAACCGAGGAACATTGGGCTATGCTGTGAACGTTACCTGACAGTGACAGAAGACAATCAAAGCTAACACCGTGTGGCTGATCCAAATGAAGATCGCTAATCGGGATCGCACATGTAGCAAAGAGGCGTAGATGGTACGCCGCAACGATGCCCATGTGTGGGATTCTTCTCTTATATTACCGCAAACGTACAATGACGCTGTGACTGACAAGACGAGGAATCAAATGTCGCGATTGGTAGGAATGGCAGAGTGACAGAGTGACCAATGCACGTGGCGGCCTGGGGTTCAGGACTGAAGGTTTGATCTAAGGTTTATCGGCTGCTACCGACATCTATCTAGGGATCTGAACTAAGATGACGGAATCGCAACACCTGACTAGGACACAGCCGAATGATGGTAGCCCGTCACCCTGTATACCCGAGCTGTCGAAGGTTTCCCAAGTTTCCCAAGATTCAGGGGAATTCATCGATTCTCTTCGCGACAAAGCTAAACGCGCGGGCATCTAGATTTCGGATCTAGGCGCAACTCTTCGTTGGCCTGCATTTCGGCGGGGTTGGCCGTTGATTGGCTACTCACGTGGTGCAGGGGAAACCATCGGCTTCCAAGGTTCATTGTGAATCTAGTGAACATTAGCATGTACTGTCGACCATGAGCGCATGACGCTTGCCCGCGCGAAGTTGTCTGCACAGCTCCAGCCCACATTTCAGATTGCATGCGACAGCGTCGCCCCACGACACGTGCCGTCTGGACACCGCAGCACGTCTCCACTGCCCGCAAAAAGGAACAAAAAGCTGTTCGGACAATATGCCAAAAGCAACCGACTCCCTTCGGGCATTAACACCCTGCATCGACACGTCGAGTCGAGGCCACCCACAGCTACCGTGGGTCCACTGTCCATACACGTCATGCTGTAACGTTGTCGGCTCGGTTGCAGTAGCGGATAACAGAGAAGGTTATTACGCCGCTGAATCGCCGTGGTGTTCAACACCAGGGCAACCTTTGCTGGAGTGGAGTTTCGCACCCTTGTTCCAAGAAACCCACTGAATGCGACTGACTTCCTTAAACGGAGATCTGCAACTGCGAGTAATGAACAGCAAGCGTCTGCCACGTCGAGTCAGAAAACTCCACAATCCGAACGCGACACCACACCACTCAAGTGGAGTCCTTGTTCGGCTATGAGCATTTGGAGAGAGGCCTCGTCTAGGAGATAGTCGTAAGCCGGGGATTCAGTCCCGTCTTCTCTAGCGCAAAGTTTGCGGGAGGCGCGTCAAGTTGACAACTGACAGCTGAAGAGGAAGACCAGGGCAGTCGGAAGAGCATCCCTTAGGCTGGTTATCTACCCCGAGGTTGTTGTATACGAAGCACGGGCGGCTGCAAACCTTTGTCTGCACAGATCACGGCTGCAGACAGCTAGATCCAAACCCTGGTGTTCCTCCAACGGACGTGTCCAGGATTATGACAATTCAACGTGTCGGATGCGAAGACCGACCACACACAGGAACACATCACGATTGCAGTTTCTTTAGCCATGGCGGTCTGCAGATTTGCACAGGGATCAGGCGTCGATGTAAGGTATGCCGCAAGGTGCACAAAAATGTACTCGTGGCTGATGCGGGGGGTTGGTTATGCGACGCCCAACCCCCAGCTTTGTTTCGACTGCGACAACATCGAATTGTTAGACCTGTCAGCATCGTGAAGTATTCCATCGTAGATCTCAGCTTACAGCGCCGATAGCCGGCATATTATCGATAGCACCCGGAACCCCTGTCTTAGGAAGCATCCCTATTTGAGCTCGTTAAGCCTCAATCCTTCGATCATCTGCCGCGGGAGGCAAATCTCACGATCGCCGACATCTCATTGTGCCTTGCATTAGCCCACACTATCGGCGCAATCGGCATCCTTGCGGCCGGAACATTAGCCTACCAGACTAAAGCGATCTTTGTTGTGCCCAAAGGGGACGCCGGCGAGTCGACGTCGTAGCACCACCAGCCAGGCACGCCAGGCGACCGACTAGTACCTAAGTATCCAGCGACAAGGGACCTATAACGTGTCAGCGGTTTTTGGCTTCTCCGGTATGTTTACCCTACAGAAATTCTCTCTTCGTCATCGATCTACAGCTCCCCTTCCCCAACACGCTGTGCCGCCCCCAGTTATCAAACTTTCCCACTTGTCCCATTTGCTTTTTTGACGGCCGCAACGTGGTAGCGTTCCACGAATACAATGGCCCTGTTTAAGAACAAGATGCGATCAGCTCACGGAGTGTTCTCGTCTAAACGGCCTACTGATCCTGCCAGGACGTCGAATACCACTATCAATTCAGCCAAAATGGGGAGCTCAACCGAGTTGGCCCCAGCGTATGTCGATAGCGTCATGGCACCCGATACGGATGCCCACCCCAATGTCACCAACGGCAGTGGCGGTGCGTTTAATGAACCACTGGTCCTGGACTTTGCAACCATGCAAGATGCTTCTGATTCAAATGCAAGGAGTGCCCCTCTTTCACCCGTCACTAGACCGGCTGATCCCGAACGAAGAGAAAGTTGGCTTTCGGATGACGATACTGCTCCCGCTCCACAGATAGACTTTACAAGAAAGGATATCCATATCCCTTCCCGCACCAGGTACTCCCCTCTTCTCCCCCCTCGTTCCTTCCTTCCTTTTACTCATCACCAAACAGTTCCAGCACTCCTCAGGCCAACAAGAAGCGCATATCATTGCAACGGCGACTGAGTGCAGAGCCATCTTCGCCTAACAACGGACGTGTAACACCAGACATGCAACAGACGCGTACCCGAAGTATGTCACGCACATCTAGTGCCGTGCCACAAAACATACTGTCCTCACGAATCCCCATGAACGAACAGCCGACCACGATACGAAGCTCAGCCGACTCAGTCATATCATATGAGTCCACCGCCCCGTCTTTCGCAACGCGACAACTGGGTCCTCTCCAGCAAAAAGCAGATATCATCGAGGACGGAGACCGGCTATCGCCATTACTGGAAGATGACCCCCAGTCATTCGATCTTGTCTGCGGACCTATCGAGAACTCACGATCACAATATTCTCTCGAGACCAGATCCGAGCAACTCTTCTCCAGAGACCACCTGAAGGCCATCTTCGCCGATACTGCATCGCTACTCCGATTTACGTCATTCCTGAGCATCGCCCGACCCAACTCGCTTCCTACTCTAATCTACTACCTCGACGCACTGAAAGCGCTACGAGCCATCAGCTATGCCAATGCCGTCGCAGAAGCCCTGGAACCCATTCAGGGCTTGGACTTCACCGAGACTCCAGCGCGGACGACCATGAACGCAGTGTTGGAGGAAAAGGCCAATCGGGCCTTTGACGTCCTGGTCCGTGACGATCTTCCGGCTTTCATCACCCACGTCTTCATTCAAGTGGTTAGCGTGAGCATTGCGAAACGCGTAACAGGAAATTTACCTCCGATGCTTCGTGAGGCTAGCGAGGGTCTGGCCGAAGTCTTCTGCCTGACAGACCCATCTAGGACTGATAACCCGATCATCTTTGCGTCGGAAGGTTAGTTTACCGTTGCGCCTTCAAACTGACCGTTGGTTAACGTGAAACTAGAATTTCACCGCACGACTCAGTACGGCGTTGGGTATGCCATCGGTCGCAACTGTCGCTTTCTCCAAGGCCCGAAGACGAATCGGGCCAGTGTTGAGCGCTTTGGCACAGCGGCCCGCGAAGGCAAAGACCACAGCGAGGTGTTCCTGAACTAGTAAGTGCCGAGGTCACTCTTGTAATTTCATTGGTGAGCATTTGTTGACTTCAACACAGTCGCCGTGATGGATCGCCATTTATGAACCTTTTGATGATTGCGCCTCTTCTTGATTCGCGGGGAACTCTACGATACTTTATTGGCGCGCAAATCGACATTTCTGGTCTCGTAAAGGACAGCACCGATCTTGAGGCTTTCCGGCGCATGCTCGATGAGGAGGAGGGCCAGAAAGAGAAGGAGCCTCAGAAAGATGAATTCCAGGCGCTCAGTGAGATGTTCAATAACACCGAGTTGGACACGGTGCGCAAGTACGGCGGCAACATGCATAGGGAGCATCTTGAAGAACAGGACGATGCGAGCATGCAGCACAAACCCAGACTGCTTATCCAGGACCAATCGACCTTTGACGTTGACAGGGCGGAGAAGCCAGCGATCAACAAGGCAGACGGCAGGCTGTCTGGCCCATACAAACACGTAAGTGGCTGCCGTTTCTAGGTAACGATGCTTGGAGACTGACAAAATTTAGTACCTCGTTGTGCGCCCGGCGCCTTCCCTGCGTATTCTCTTCACATCTCCATCTCTCCGTGTCCCCGGCATTCTCCAGTCGCGTTTCCTCGATCGCATCGGCGGAAGTAACCGGGTCCGAGACTCCCTCAGCGACGCGCTTGCAGATGGGTCTCGTGGTGTCACAGCGAAGATCCGCTGGCTGCCGCACGCCGTATCAGACCTCGAAGACTCTTACGAAGAGGGCCGACCCAGGTGGATACACTGCACCCCTCTGCTCGGACAGAACGGGTCTGTGGGCGTCTGGATGGTGGTGCTCGTTGACGAGAAGGAGCACTCTGCACCGCATCGCAGATTCCGCCAAGCACCGCCCATCCCGAACGACATCCGCGGCAACAGTTTAACGGGAGAAAGGCGACCCTACCAGACTCCTCGATTCGATGAGTATGGCAACGATACCAGTAGCCAGCGTACCCCCTCACGCGGAGCGTCTCCTTATGCGAACGGCAATGGCGTATCCCGTCACTACGACAACTTGCGCAACCCTTCGACTCCGACGCGAGCGCAAAGCCCAATGACTTATGATCAGCGTGGAATCCGATCAGGCGCGTCGTCGGTCAAAGACTACGTCAACGGGGCACAGGCTAGTGTTGATTCTTTCCGCATCTAGCACTGCTGATTCCCTTTCAGGAAGAGGAAGAGGCAGCGTTGGGAACGGCAACACCGGTTCGCATGGAGATAAGAGATGGCGCAACAAGAATATACTGAGAGAAATACGTCATGAAGATTGTCGAGACTGAGAACGAGACGGTCGCATATAAAAAGAAGATGAAGGATATATAGACCGGGTGGTCGGGCTGTACTGCGCTGTTGTTCATCTGCTCTATACCCATTCTGTAAACGTAACTTAAGCATAGCATCGATAGCGGCGTTAATTTTCATATGTCCATAATTCTTAATATACATCACAAACAAGATCAAATTCATGGGCAAGTGATAGAGCGCATTTGCGCAAGAGCAGGCCAGCGAGTGTAAGCGAGTCTTCGCCGCGGGAGTGCCGCCATGCATCATCCCTCCAACACCTCACATCAACAACAACCCCACCACCACCCCTGACGTGTCGCTGCGTGCCAAACCACGCCCCATCTCCCGCCATGGCGACAGTACGGCCAATGCGCCCAACCGATCTCCTTCGAGTATCTCAATGCAACCTCGACCACCTCACAGAAACATACAACATCGGTTTCTACCTCGAGTACCTGACCAAATGGCCCGAGCTATGCCAGATAATAGAAGGCATGGACGGCGAGATTGAAGGCTACAGTAAGAC